TTTCATAATGTTAGTTTATAATTTAAAGGAAACAGAGAAATGCAACCTAACAAGAAATAGAAAACACAAGACGCGTTTATTTGCTCAAATAATATAAAATTTGGCAGAACAGACGTTACTAGTAGGGTTGCAACTAGTAGGGTTGCAAGTGCGTATCGTTCTTAAGACACATACAACTAGTGTTCATAATTTCAAACACAGCACGAAAATTGGAAACCTTCATTATCTGCATTGGATAAATATTATATCGGAAAGCAACTTCTCAGATAATAAAATGACTCCAGAGGATGGTGCAATATGGAAGTCTTGAAAATTTCATATTCTACATTAAATGATGATGTGGTACATATCATTAAGTTTTCACGTATTGAACATACTTGCATAGGTTTTTTAAATTGTTTATTTATTACCAATTCTTCAAAATTATACATTAACTTCTTCAACTTCTTGTCAAACTTGGACCTACAATGCATCAGCCTATTGAAGGTCCACAAATAAGACCAAAACTACAATAGAATTGAACTATGTAATAGAAAAATACTACACCGTTTCATTTTCTTTAAAGATGCCTGTGTTCCAAAAACATGATTATGGAGGTAGAGGAATATATCATAAAATAAGATACATTTGAATAAACTTGTGGAGAAACTTTTCTAATTTCATCCCCACCATCTTTATCTCACTTTTCTTCCTTTCTCAAACTCTCTTTTCTTCATGTAGCAATACCGTTACTTTAATTCTCTACATGCTTTAGCAGTTATCTTAGCTCCACATGTCATAGAAGTGACTTTATAAAAGAATAAAATGGGTCCAAGAACTAAACCTCGGGTGCAAGATAACAGAGTCGTCTTCCACCAGTGTCAAAGAAGAATGAAAAATCCGAAGGGTCATCATAAGGAATGTAAGTGGGTTTGAATGACGCAAAGTCAGCAAGGTAGAGCCAATTCCAGGAGGTAACGAGCACATTCTCACACTTAATATCACCTACATAGATGCAAAAGAAGAAAATAAACCACCCAGTTGCAGTGATATCCAGAAAATAGCACGTATCATCCACACTACTGAGCTAACCATGACAAATTCCTTTCTCATGACTCTGTTTGACCGCAAGAAGTAACTGCAATCAACGAGAAAAATAAAGGAATGAGGGAAAATACACATTATTTTTTATTAAAGAAAACATACGCAATCTATATTTTCAATTAGAAGGAAAAAAGTAAAAATATGACCTGAAATGCTAGCCATTTCTTCTCAATGAGACTGAGGAAAGGTCGGGTACTTAAACGATCATGCAAATTGTTGAAGAAGTATTGCCTCAATAGATAGGCTGCCTTATCCGTTTCTTGCCAGAACTGCACATAACATTTCAAGAAGCATAAGACAAATCCAAACAGTAACGGTTTAACAAGCAAGCCCCCACACCCCAACTAACTACGACAACTCCATGTCTTTTCACAGCCTCCTCAACCCATACAGCTCTATTTGTATCATTCGCTGACACGAGAACACTAAAAACCTTCCGTCCGTCTGAAACAAGATAGTGGGTAACAGTCATCCCCACCACTACGGACTCCAGGAGCCTCTTTTGTAATAACATCTTCATCCAAAAAACATTAAGTCCTTACTCCGATGGTAATCCCAAAAATTTAAGCTACTATGCAAACCATGCTGAACTCGGCAGCACGATAAAATTAAGCTAAGCTTATATCTAGCAAGGCAAAATAGCCAATTTCACAAGCAGTTACAGTAAAACTCGGACCCCCAACCATGAAAAATCCATTAATTTTCAGAGGGTTCTGGAAAACGATACAAACGGAAGTAAATTCCAAGACAATGTAAGAAGTGGGGTATTGAATAAACCTGGAATGGCCAAACGTGAGGGTGGTTAAGGGCACGGAAAATCTCTTTGATCTGAGAGAGACGGCGCTCGTACTCTTTGAGATCGATGAAGTCGCCTCGCTTGAAGTAGACCTTAACGAGGACTAAGCCCTCGTCGTGCTTGCAGAGAATTGACTTGAAGAACCGGCCTCGCCCTAGAACCTCTTTCAAGACAAGATTGTAGCTGGAAGGAAGGTCGTGAAGGTAGTACTCCGAGGCGGAGACCTGGGTTGTGCGCGCAATCTTGTTGCCCATTCTATTGCCTGAAATTGTCGCCGGATTTTCTCATCGGGATTGCTTCTGCGTGCTTCCGAAGTCTCTGAAGATGAGACGACGGTGCACTGTAACTGATTTTGTACCACTTTCGCGGGGCAGGCTTTGAAATTCTTCACCCGGAATTTGTTAAGATACGTTTGCGTGCTTCATCATGATCGGAGTTTTTGGCTGCCGCAAAACTTAGTTTTGGGATTTCCCCATCTCCAGTTAGGGGTGACACATCCGTTTTTTCCCTCATTTTTTCCCCTTCTCTCTGGTTTATTGTTCCGAGAACTGAACCAATATCTTCGATTCGGGAGAAATTACTGAACCGTTTGGTCCGTTTTATCCGACTCGGTTCTTGTCATTTGGGTGGGTGCATCATTGACAAAGGGAAGCGAATGACGGGTGGCACAGGACGACGATCCGAGAGGAACTTGATATCTGTTGGTTCTCGATGGGAATCGTTAGCAAACATTTATGGATAATTTTATGGTATAGAGAACTAAGTGGGACTCGAGGACGTAGATGACTCACCAATCTCGCACACTTCGTGAACGTAAATTCCACCTCCAAAAATCATATTTTCATTGAATTTTGACTATTGATTGTTAAATAATCATAAACTCATATGATAAGTTCTTCCTACAATAAAGTCGTCGCTGACTCTACTCATTATATTGATCTCATGTGTTAGTCATATTTTTTCCTCTTTTTCCATAGTCACGAGTCACTGTTCCTACAACAAAGTTGAGAAAAAGAAAGAGAACAAAGTCTAAACTTTATTTTCCTAAAAGGAATTAAATGGGCATGAGGCACAGACCGAGTAATTTAAACAGTATTGGGGAACCGAGCATTATTGGTTTGGTTTGGCTTTTAGTCTTTAATTAAACCGATCCAGTTTGAAATGCGAAAGCAAATCGGTCTTCATTTACGGTTCGAACGGTTTCTGAACACCCGTGTTTTCGCAATCTGTGCCCCGGACTAAACCGGACGGCAATTTGGACCGCCAAATCGGCTCTTCTCAGTTTCGTAAATTGCAAGGCAGAATTTCCATAATTTGTCTTGAATATATATATATATATATATATATATATATATATATATATATATATATTTTATCCACTTAAAACTAATCATTTCCATAATTTGTCTTGAATATATATGTGTGTATTTTATCACTTAAAACTAATCAAATATTTCTGATAGTAACAAATAAGAATGTGTTTCGTTCGTGATTTTAAAAAAGGAATTCAATAATTATATATTTTTAAATGTTTTCAGTGCTCGGAATAAATTTATAAATTAAATCTTAATTTAAAAAATAATTTGATGTATACCCATCATACATTTGTAAACAATGGTTGCTAACTAAAATAGTTTAATATTAAATAATATTAAATAATTTATCTATCCAACATATATTTACTAAATTAATCTTAGGAAAATCGAGAATAAAAATATAATTTAAAAACATATTTCAAATGGCTATACAATCTATATTTATATCTATACTATATTAAAAATGAAAAATATTGAAAAATATTTTTAGACTATTATACCCTTCCTTTAATTATAAATTTACAAAACATGCCATAGAAAATTAATGGTAAATAAATAAATTATCAATAATAAATATTTACTTAATTATCCATCCTGACAATTAAGTGGAATCCAAAAAGTTGGAACATGCAAGCTTAATTATTTTTACTGATAATAATAAATAATAGAATTTCAAAAGTGGTAGAATTCTAAAAGTTTTTTAACTTTTTCATCTAATACCTATGGGCATTTTCTTCCACCATTTTCTAGCAATACTCAAACTACATTTTTTTTCATTATTTTTATTACTTCCTCATTTTCTTACTTTCAAAATATCTATAATCTTGAAAGCAACTCATACATGATACGTTCAAGTCAGAACGAAATTTATATATTGAAGTTGTATCTTGATTGGTAAGTTTGTTTGGTTATAATTTTACTTTGACGAAATTAAATAATGATGTTTGTCTAATAAGATCAATATATCTTCAAGATGTACGTATTGATTTGATTTAACTTTTTTTTAGTTTTGTTACTATTTTTTTATTTTTGTTATTTTATAATTGCTATATCATTATTATTATGTATCTGTTGAATATTTTTTATAATTAGTATTATTATGTTATTTTATTTATAATTTGTGTGCATATATTATAAGAAATTTAGCATATTTATTAGAAATTGGAATTTATCATTTTATAATATTTTTTAATTTATAAATTTACCAAAACGTGTCATAGAAAAATAGTGGTAAATAGTAAATTAATTAATAAATTATGAATAATAAATATCAACCATTTCTTTTTTTTACTAAATCTCAATATGTCGTCTATTAAATAAACGATCATCATTATAGATATGATTTAGGAGACTACTTTATTAGGGATTTATTGGATTTATTACTTGATAACTGTTATGTTAGGTGGTTAGCATTTAGCAAATAGTGAGTATGGAAGTTAGTGTATTTTTCTTTGAGAGTTCTCTGAATGATTATTTGTCCACCTTTGCCAACTGTCTGACGATTTATTCTTCTATTTAACTCATACTTTTTTTTTCTTATTATGCAACAAATCATTTTTAAAATAATTATTATAATATTATGTTTACTTTTTTTGTACTTTTAAAAATATATTATAAAAAGTGATCATCGGATCCTTTAGTTATTTTTACTTTATTTATATTTCATCATAACGATAGTGTGATATTTAATCAAAGGTTTATGTGTATAAATTTTGCAAATCTAGATAAGATGCCATAAAGGAACTAAAATGAATAATATATAGGTCAAAATGAAAATATATTAAGTTTGCTAGAAAAAAAATTAATATATTAAGTAACAGAAAAAAGTAAAACAAATAAAATGAAGTTCTTTGGAGGTGATTTCTCAACATGCATGACGGCCTAGTTCGAAATCCCTCCCCACAAGACTGTCTGAAGTCTGGTAGGAAAGTTCACCTCAAAAAATAGATACCCCTACTCAAGTCGGAACTTAGCGGCAATCAGTTTGCAACTTTGTTTAAATAATGAGAAGGGGAGTGGGACCATTGAAAATGTTAACCAAACCAGCTTATATGTTTTGGGCCGAATAACTTACACCACAGATCCAAATGCTTATACACAACGCCCATAACTTGGTTGAACGGAAGTCAGACCGTGTTCCCCAAGTATAATAAAATCGTTTGATCAAAAATGGAATTCCTTCGTCGCCAAGCCTCCCAGATCCAAACCCACAGAGCGTAACTCTCACGAAACGCGATTCTCTATTATTTTCTTTATAACCATTACAAATCTTCCGTTCTGTCACAGCACAATCAGATCCAAACAAACCGAAATAAGCAGAGAATGAAACAGAATACTTGCAACATCAATTAGTGATCGTGTAATCAAAGACGAAAGTCGATTTGCAGATTTCTGAGGTATACGTACACGATTTCCCTCTGTTTTCATTTTTCTTCCACTCAAACACACGATCTAGCCACAAAATGAAACGCAGATCGACATTGCAATATCATTAAGCTGTACAAGCGTGATTTTATTGAAATAGAAAACCACGGATTACCGTCCATCAAGAATATTTACAAATCTCAGACTCGAAGTCGCAAATACGCCGTCGTGCGTTCTCAAACCGCCACCGCCTCTTTCGGATCTTCGAAGTTAGGGTCCTTCGCGTCCATAACTTCAGTCTGGAAGCCGATCTCGGCCGGAGAGTAACCGTCTCCCGCCCAGGTGAACTTGCCGCCGTGGCCTCCTTTCTTCGGCGATCCGCTCATCCCCGTGGCCGATTTCCGATCCTTCCTCGCGTCGGATTTTCCGCTTGGCTTGGAGCTCCTTTCTGACTTCTTCATCTCCTTATTGCCGCCGATTCCTTCCGTCTCTCTCAGCTAATAGTTGTGAGTGAGGATCGGAGTGAGGATCGGAGTGAGGTACGGCTTTATTTATATGGTTGTGAGTGAGATCCTCGCAATCTGTGGGTGTGCGTGTACGTGGTGCGCTCTGATTTGACGATTTCGGATGGATAAGAACGCCATGGTTTGCGGTAGAAAAATTCCTCTACTCGCAAGCGTGTGCTGCGATCCGTAGAACCGGATGACTTGACAGAAGTACAGTTCTAGCCCTTGATATTTATTCAGTGGTTTTATTACAAATTTACCCTCTCATATTTATTTAATTATTAAATTGCAAATTTAGCCTCTGATATTTATTTAATGTTTAAATTACAAATCTATGCCCTCGATTTCTAAATCATATCTATGGAGGGGCCTCGACATTTGTTTAATAGATTATTGAGCTCTAAAATATCTAATAAATTTTTTAAATTTTCAAAGTATAATAAATTATTGACTTATTACATACTTTGTAAGATTTATGAACTCAATTGACACAATATTGAAAGTCAAATTCTTATTTAAAAAAGAAGAATAATATTAGGATATTATTACACATAAAATTCAACTTTGTTTTCAATTTGATGGTTATATTTTTTTTATTTTTTTTTTTACACAATTATACTTATAGACTTATTTGTTCCCCGCATTTTGCTTTCAAATACGTTTTTAAGATCGGTTGTCCTAAAATTTTAGTTTTTTAGTATAACATCTTGAGGATATAGATGATCAAACCTCCAATATTTAGGGAATTAATACGTGCTAAACTATGTTCAGGTTTGCTAAAATTATAGTGAGGAGACTTATGTTAGGTTGGATTTTTCTTTTTTCTTTTTCTTTTTATAAATGTGGCTAATATTTAAATTTATTTGAAATGTTTTATTAATGCTAGTCCAAAATCAATTAAAAAAATAAAACTTTAAAAATTATTGTGCTCATTTCGTTTTTTCAACCAAGTCCTCTTTATACGGTAGAACTACTTATGTATATGGTTAAAGGTACATGCAGTTATTGGACAAATACCATTTTTAAACGGTATTCCTAGTCTAGCACAAGAGTGGTCACAACTATATCAACCTAAATGTCTTAAATTTAAATCTTAATATTTTCATAATTTTTTTACATTAGCATTATTTTGAAAATAAAATAAAAATTTGACAATATTAAAAAAAACTCATATTATGTTTTTCTAGTACAAATCAAATAGCTTAGAATTTTTAAGGGATTTTAAGTGTTGACGAATTTCAAATAAATTTAATTGTTTCTAATTAAATCAAATATAATAATTTGAATACTGCTTGATTTCAAAGGGTGTATTTACAAAAAAAAATTCTTATAATTAGATTGATCTGATTTTACAAAATTTCATAGATTTTTAAAGTGAATTATTATTTATGTTGTCATATTTGATTTTCTAATTAATAAATTACCGTTAAAAATCTATATTGATAAACCTTTCAAATTATTTTCTCATTCCAAAAAGATAAATAACTTAAAATTATTTTAAAACCTTTTATCTATTGGGTGGATAAAATTTTGAAATATTATTTTTGGAATAAGTTAATATTAGATTTGAAAATATTTTAAAAAGAAGTAAAAAAAAAAAAAAAAACTATCATGTGATTGTGAACTGTGGAACATAAAAAATGGAAATAAATCATTTGTCTAAAATAAAGAAAGAAAATAAGAAAATCCGTGGCAATTCCGCCTCCCTCCAGCGACCAAAGCGTTGAACTGGGATTGGGCTTTAGAATCCGAACTGCTCATCGAACAGATAGATTCATTTAAAAAAGAAAAAAAGGGAAAGAGAGAAATCTTTCTCAGCCCTAATACGCAGAGGAACATAGCGCAGTGGAATAGAAACGTAGAATAGCGGGCGGGGGGAATTACATATATATATATTAGATAGCAATGTTAGCGCTGTTACTAGCCCCAGTTTCGCCCGCTCCGCTGCTCTCTTTCAATCGATTCCCTCATATTTCTCCTCCCTCTTGCATTCCAGCTGCTGGTAAGCTCTCAGATTTCTCAGCTGCGTCATTTCTCATGGCGCCTGTTATTTAGTGATTTGTTAGTTTTTTTCGCTTTCTGTTTGATGCATAGCTCTCTCTCGACCTTAGAAGATGAAAATGGCGGGATGGAGGGTTGCTAAACACTCCAACTGCACTTGGATTCTGTGCTGCTTTTTTTTTTTTTTTACTGCGATTGATTTGCGTCTTTGATGGTTTACAAGTTCAATTTCAAGTCTTACATGTTTCCTTTTTCGTACTTGTAGTAATTCTTATTCTCAATCTGAAACTAGACAGACATACTCAGGGCGGCCTCTAGGCGACTCATTTCTGCCACGAAGACGGCTCAATCGGTATCAACAATGGCAACTGTAAGTTATATGGAGTATTTTGTTGCTTAGCTTCCTTCCGTATCTATCTAGTTTATTACAAGTAAGTTTGAGTTGTTTCTGAGACTAAATATGGACGTTCTGGCTCAGGATGATGAGAACGTGGGTAATATCAAGCGACAGTTAGCTAAAATATTTGAAGTATCCCTCAGAGCGACGGTCGCTGAGGAGACAGATGTTGAGCCTTTGGTGGCTGCTTGTACTGGAAAATTTGGCGACTATCAGTGGTATGAATCGTATGATATACGAGTTACTGAAACTCTAGTGAAAGATATTGTTAATTAGATTACTGTTGCTAAGTTGAGGTTTCTTATTTGGCGAAGCAATAATGCGATGGGCCTCTGGTCTAAAATAAAAGGAAAAGGAACTCCGTTCAGGGGCCCTCCTTCGGTTGGACAGGTATTTACGGTTTACTTTTCTGTGTTTCTATTTTTCATGAAGATTTCCTTTGATATTGGATCTATAGGATCATTATTTTTTATCATTTAGATAATAGAGAATTTGACAGAACTGCTCTCTCGATTTCTAGGCCATCATGAAAAACCTTCCTCCATCCGAAATTATAGAATCAAGTTCAGTGGCAGGCCCTGGTTTCGTGAATGTCGTGGTATCCAAGAATTGGATTGCTAAGGTAATGTCATTTTCTTGAAAATATTAGTTGGAATAACTCATATCCAGTGTTGTTGTTCTCTGTATAAAAAAACGTGATTTTTTATTTTACCTTTTTCTGATAAAAAACAAAGAGATATTCAAAAAATGAGGAAAGACAACCTAAGGGCTGGGTAGATAGAACCCCCGCCCAGAGAACTAAAAATTAACTATAAAAAACGTGGTTTATAATTTAGTTGTTAATTCTCCACGGTCTATAAAAAATGTACCACTTCGTTATAGTTGATGGATCTATGCGTGTTTAAAGTATGCTTATTATGCATTTTCTGCTGCAGACCATACAAAAAATGCTAATTGATGGTATTGAAACTTGGGCACCCCGGCTTCCAATTAAAAGAGCAGTAGTTGATTTCTCCTCGCCAAATATAGCAAAAGAAATGCATGTTGGCCACTTAAGATCTACGATCATTGGAGACACTCTAGCCCGAATGCTTGAATTTTCACATGTTGATGTTCTTCGAAGGAACCATGTTGGTGATTGGGGAACACAGGTACATCTTTGTCTTTTTCAGTGCCTTAAAACAGTTCCGTTTTCCAAGGATCTGATGTTAATTTATGGTGTTCCGTGTTGCGATGGAAAAGTGGCTTTTTCATGAACTGCTCGACCTGTTACTCTTTTGAAGTGTACAAGAAGACTGATTTTAATTTATAGTTTGCTGCTTTTGCCCCAGTCCTTTTTTTTCCATGTCCAGTCTACCTTCAAAATCAGTAGTCTTAATTTTGAGTCAGTAATCATAAAATGTTGCAAATGTCTAGATTCGCTAATCCTGATTACTGCCTCAAGCTTGTTTAAATGCCTATTTAGTTTTTAAGTATTTGAAACGATAAGAAACTTCCATAGAAAAGCAATGTGTCACAACGTATTCATCTTTTGCTTCGTGTTTGCAGTTTGGCATGTTGATCGAATTCCTTTTTGAAAGCTTTCCTAACTGGGAAGATGTTACTGAAACAGCTGTTGGAGATCTTCAGGTAAGGAGGGACATTTTAGAAGCTCCTTTGGTTATTAACATGTTTACCTTTTACAGTATACTGACAGAAGTTCCTTTATTGTAATTAAGAAGTTCAAATACTTTGGGTCTTACATAATGGACTTCACTCTTACGTGATACAAATGTGTTCCAATAAATTCAAAAAATGGATATAGAACTTAGTAGTGCCTATCTGCAATATCAAGTGGAGCTAACAAACTGTTATTTGGAATTTTGATTTAATAGACATTCTACAAGGCATCAAAGCAGAGATTTGATAGCGATGCTGCATTTAAGGAGAGGGCACAACAGGCAGTGGTTCTTCTTCAGGTGATTTTTCCGTGGCCAATATATACATACTTCCCTCCCTTATTCAATACTAATTTAATACTTTGGACCCTAAATCCTCAATCTTAAAACTGTCTTGAAATTTCTTTCAGTTGTCATTTACACGTTAATTTTATTTGTTCTCATAATTTTCCACAAGATGACATTGATTGCAAATTTTTTTTCTTCATGTTATTTTATTCATTATTATTTCTATTTCGTATAAATATGAAAAAATAAATAATAAATTAACAAAAGAAAGTTTGGGGTTTAACATGTGATGGAAGCGTTGAGAAGATTTTTTTCTTTTTTGTTGTTCGTGAGTGTTTGGGCCCACTTATGTTCAACTCGATTAATCTCACTGAAGAACTAAATGACCTTCCAACATTTCATTATCAAGATGTAGGATTTTAATATCTTTGACAGGTAGCCACCATGAGATTTAAGATTATTCCCCTAAAGTCTCTTTTACTTATGTGTTGTAATTGGGAGAGTAAAAAGTAGTTTACCCATAAATTTATTATTTAGTTTTTTGCAGCTCATTTATGATTTAAAGATTCCCTGCAACGGCATGATGGGGAATAGCAATCATTTGGAAGTTTCCTCTTATCTGATTTCTGTTCAAATACTCTTATTTTTATTTATTATTTATTTTTTTGCAGGGTGGGGAAGCTAAATATCGTAAGGCTTGGGCACAAATATGTGAAATCAGCAGGAGTGAATTTAATAGGGTGTATGAACGCCTCGGAGTTCAGTTAGAGGAGAAGGTACATTTTAGCTTTTCTTTATACTTAATACTTGGATTTTATGCTTAGGTAACTTTTTACTCCTAGTCTGCTGGTTTTTCTCGTCTCTTTCCTCTACTTACTTGTGTTGGGATTGGGTAATTCTTCCTTTTAATGTCAGAATCATGTTATATTGTTGTGCTGGCTTTTGATTTGTTGAGTTGAGGCTGAAATTTGTGATTGAATGAATGCCTAATCTAATAAGGTTTAATTGTATTTACCACCATATTTATTAGTTGGAAGTTGATTTATGGTTAATGACATCCACTATCAAACAGCATCAGCTTCTTGGACACGTTGAAGATCTTCTGTCCTATTGAGTATTGCCTTGTTCTTGGGGATGTTTATTTGCACTTTGCAGAGTCGTGAATCTGGCTCTTTTAATTTTAATATTGGTCTTAAGTACTGCCAACGATTCATTCTCAGTTCTCATTTGGTTAAGGTCTTTCTATCTCTGTCAGGGAGAGAGCTTTTACAACCCGTACATTCCTAATGTCTTAAAAGAATTGACTGATAAGGGCTTAGTGGAGGAAAGCCAGGGTGCTCGTGTAATCTTTATTGAAGGAATAAATATTCCTCTTATTGTAGTGAAGAGTGATGGTGGTTTCAATTATGCTTCAACTGATCTTGCAGCCCTCTGGTCAGTTTTTCTCTTCCTCAGATGCTTTTGAGCGGAATTATAGTCACTGGTTATGCATGATCATGACCCATCAATATTGTGTGCATTTTTGGACTCCATATGATTGATTGCATGACTTTCAAATTATGTGGAGCTGAAATATTCTATTTTGTGGTTTTGCTTGCACCAAACAGGTATCGTCTTAATGAAGAGAAAGCTGAATGGATTATATATGTCACTGATGTTGGTCAGCAGCAGCACTTTCACATGGTATTTCGGGTATGTGTCTTGAGCAATTCCTGCTCTGACATGATTTATTATCCTCGCATGTTTTTTCCATAAGTGGTTATTCTAGACTAGGTGGCTGGTCCTCTAAATTTTATTTAGCAATTATTTAATGGACTTGTTGTTGGCCTACATTTCCTCTCTTGTGTTTGCACATTGATTAATAATTACTTTAGACCTGGTCATCACTAATCTACTGAATTTTAGCTAACAATTCTTTCATGGATTGGTTATTGTATTAAATCGGTGAAGTGGATGCTTAAATTGGAAGTGCTTATGGCTCTGTTTCAGGCTTGTAAACGTGCCGGCTGGCTTCCACTTGAGGACAATAAGCATCCCAAAGCAACCCACGTCGGTTTTGGTTTGGTTCTTGGTGAAGATGGCAAGCGTTTTCGAACTCGCAATACTGAAGTGGTTCGTTTAGTCGATTTGCTTGATGAAGCCAAGAACCGTAGTAAAACTGCACTCATTGAAAGGGGTAATAATAATATTGATTATCAAGAACACTGTTTTTTATTTCATTGAAAAAAATTGTACACCTTGCTGCTTTAGACATTGTAAGATTCTGTGAAAGCAAAAGTGTTCAGTTTTTTTTGGTCGAAAATTTTTACAGTCAAACTTGCACATCTTATTATGTAGTTTGATTTTTTTGATATAAGATTTTTTTTGTTTTTTGACTTTTGTTAATCTACTGTAGAGAAAGCTGCACAATGGACTGAGGAGGAACTTGAACAAATTGCTGAAGCTGTTGGTTATGGTGCTGTTAAGTAAGTTACTGTTTTCATTACTGGCTAATCCTTTTTATTCCTCTTGCATGAATCCTAGAGGTTATACAGGATGCACCTTCCGATGAAAAGCCTCAATAAAGAAGTACTATTAATTGGTACCATCGGAGATGATTATCGTTGTCAAATAACAAATGGATCATGTATCTGTAGAGTTATGTAGTATTCCTAGCTCATAGGAGGACATAGGTTTTTAATAGGGCTGTGTCGTATATCTAACAACTAACTGTCATAGTGTAGCTATTCTATATTCAGGGATCATGACTAATTTTCTGGATCATTATCGTAAAGTTTGGATTTCACTACAGACTGAAGTATGTTAGAATTTCTTGATCTTCCCGTATTACCTGTAATTGAGTGGCTATTGACAATTTAGTCAAATTCACTTGATGTTACCTGGACCCATTGTGAAGAAAGAATCTCTGCAGCTTAAAGTTGCATGGAATCTTCTGATTTATGAATTTGAATGATGAAATGCCTGAAACCATACCTCTATCATTCAATTTTAGGAAGAAAGTTGTGGCTCGTCTGTTATGATAATTAAGTCTCCAACATTTCGACTGACGTCTGCTGCTTCTGTATTTTACCATTTTGTGGGATGTATCGTCAGTTTGGAATGATAAGATTTTTGGGAATTGTTTGGGAGCTACGAGAGAGATTATGACTTTATATAGCTTTGGAGCTTGGGCTGTCCTACATAGAATTAGCTTTTTCCATTTGTTTTACTTAAAGCTGTTGCTGTTCTATAATCTCCCTAACCATGGGCTCAGGTTGGGCCCTCTTTGTCTTCCTTCTTTTCTACGTGTCTTCCTGTCAATAAGTATTCTTATTATTTTAAAATTTTTGTCGCTCTTCGTGCAAATGTCCAGAATCGCTAATTAAGTCTATGTTCCCAAATTGTCTTCGCAGATATGCTGACCTCAAGAACAACAGGCTGACCAACTATACCTTTAATTTTGATCAGATGCTCAATGATAAGGTGCACTTTCTCATCTGGTTCTAAGCATAACGCATGATATACAGAAAACCAAGTCAAGAAGCTAAATGTAGTTTTATAAACATCCACCTCTACTGCCTATGAAAAAAAAAAAATCTCTATCGTCCACTCTCCTTACACACCCAAACTTGGTGATGAATAGGGCAATACTGCTGTGTATTTGCTGTATGCCCATGCTCGTATCTGTTCAATCATCAGGAAATCTGGTAAAAACATAGAGGAGTTGAAAAAAGTAAGTTTTCTTCCTAATTCCAGAACTAGTTCTATTCAGTTGGTCAGAGAAGCTCGTTTGCATTTATTTCTAAACTAGTCTACCACTATTTGATAGACGGGAACAATTGTGTTGGAGCACGAGGACGAGCGTGTCTTGGGGCTTCATTTGTTACAATTTGCTGAGGTAAAAAAAAACATAAATTTGAACTGGGTGACTCTGCCTTTACGTCTCAACCATTTTATATTTGGTACAATTTATTTCGTGTAATCACTTTTCTTCCCTTATCTCTACTTTAGGTTGTCGAGGAAGCTTGCACGAATCTATTGCCGAATGTGTTGTGTGAATACCTATACAACTTATCGGAAATATTTACGAAAAAATTCTACTCCAATTGCCAGGTATAGCATACTTCTCGAGACCAATATCTCATTCTTCATATAAAAAAAAAAAACATTATCCTCCCACTAGTTCATGTCGGATAATTTTTAAATCACTAGCTCTTGTCGGCTAATTATGCCTTGTTTATCAACTCATTACCTCTAGTGATCTAGAATTTAAAGTTCTCTTTGTCGATCATTTTGTTTGTTTATGCCATTTACATCAAGACGTTCTTCCACTTTTCCCATCCTATGCTATTAGCTGGAAAATGCTCATCAAATTTGTACCTTAAAAGTAACTAGATGCCGCCGACGTCTTCTTGCAAAAAGTTAAAAACAACTTTATTAATGTTGACGACTATGATGTATGAAAAAATTCGGGGTACATGTATCAATCAAATGAATTTCATAAGGATGGGGCTCATCAATTATGATGAAACAATTCATTGCATTGATCAAATCCAATATCAATAAACCATTTTACCTATACTCACTAGATAAATCCAATTTTTCTTTCCTGAATGAGCCACTATGTGGATAAGATATATTTATGTACATATCTTATTATAATTTATAATAATTATATACACTATACTCATCTGTCAGGTGGTTGGATCGGCTGAAGAAACCAGTAGACTCCTGCTTTGTGAAGCCACAGGCACAGTGATGAGGAAATGCTTCCATCTCCTCGGAATAGTACCTGTTTACAAGATATAACCTCCAAACAGTGAAATTTGCAGTGATTTGCGTCACTTCATTCTTCTTCACCATACTAATTAATTGCCTTGGTTTGCCGTTTTTGCAGAGGGAAAAAAGAAAAAGAAAAGAAAAAGTAGAATTCATACAGATTAAGTTTGGTTTAAGCTTAATCCTTTAATTAAATATTCTATTGTCCGTGTGAAGGTTATGCCTACTTTACTTCTCAGATTAGTCTCTCTAGTTTACTCTTCCCCCAATGTAATTTGCTTTGCCAAGTTGGTTGAATCGCTCAGAATTAGACAGCATTGAATCAAAGTGTTCTTGGGAGTGGAAGATTTGTAACTCACAGAGTCCAACTGCGTACTACTTTTGATTTGTTATTTTTAGGATTATTATGTATATGAACTAAGTTATTTCCTTCAATTTAATCTGTCAGATTTGATAGTAGATTATATGAGTATATATTTAGAGTTCGTTTGGTAAGGTTTTCGTTTATGTTTCTTTTTTTTTTTAATAAATAAAAAGAGAATTGAATGGCTTTCAACATTAAAAATGATAAAACAAAATCTTCATTTTTTGAACAAATTGAAAATAAAAAACAAAAAATTTGGTTTCGTTATTTTAAAAAATTTTATATAATTTTGAGATTGTTTAAAAAATCTAAATAGTTTGTCAATGATAAATAAGAAATAGGAAGATGGTCACTCTAAAATGATACTAATCTAACCCCTTTCTTTCTACTTTTTAATTAAAATAATAGGTAAAACTTGACTTTACTAATATGGCCAAGTCTTCACGTAATTTACTAAAATGTCTCATTATGGGCATTGGTTTCCCATATATTTAAACAACTCTCTGGTTTCAACGACAGAAACGTATTCTTAAAATGATAATTTAGTTGAACTAATTACTATTTATGGAATTGGTTATGGCAAGCCAAAAACTAATTCGATGTAACTAACCATTTAGCAAATTTAAGCACGTAAATATGGAAAGAAAATGATCAAGAATTGCAAAAGCTTTGATTAAGAGACTCACATGAAAAAAGGAATAACGTACAACTGGAGGTTAAAACTACAGGTTATGTCACAAAATTGAATAAAAAAGTGGGAAAATTAAGATGGGCTTGAATGAAAATTATCGAGTTTAATAAGGGTGTTAACTGTTAAGCAAATAATTAATCAGTTCCCATTGACAGAAATTGCAGACCTAGAACCAGAGAGCAAACTAGTTTTCCGTCTTGATCTTGAAGCTTTCTTGGCTATGGTGGCCCTTGGAATTATGGATTTATGTGCATCAAAACCTCCTCCAAAACTCTTACATGATTTCATCTTCTTTCTAATTGGAGACACCCTCTTAGCCAAATCCTCTAATCTCACCACACTTGCTAGAGATGTAAAGGACTCTGATTTCCCATCATAATACTTAGAAAGCCCTCTCCTGAAACAAATAAAACACAACAAAAAACCTCATTGGTTAGTAAAATTTAATTTCAATCAAAATGTGTATCAAAAGAAAAAATTAATCAAAAGGGTTTGTTTGGAATATCCCATTACTTACTTCATAGGAAGATGGGCCATCAGCTCTGATAATTCATAAAAAGGCCCATTAGAAGAAGAGGAAGATAATGAAGAATTTGAGGTTGGAGACAGGACATCTTCTTCTACCATGTCCAATGAAGAAGATGCATCAGAAATTTCAGAACTGAACTCCATGGAAGACTCCATTGATGCTTCAAAATCTTCTTCCATGATCGCTCTGCAACAACCATTCTGAGATCCAGGCTGATTTTCTTGCAATTTTCCCATGTGAATCAATTTATGAAGAAGAAGAAGAAGAAGAAGAAGAAGAAGAAAATTGGGGCAGAGGAGAGAAAAGAAATGAACTTTTTTGAAGTCTCTCTTTTATAGACTTTGAATAGAATATGGTGTACGATCTTCCAATTGTGCAGTATGTTTCAAGAAGCTATTTATCTATGTAGAAAAAGAGAGCATGGTTTCATATTTAAATGTTAAATTATAATAATTGATTTCTTTTTGGTTTTATCATGAGAGAGAGTTGGATAATATTCC